ACTAACAGCAGTACAAACGGAACCCACCATTAAGGCTTGCGCTGTCAACGTGTAGGAATGAAAACAGATTCCAAAGTGAGTAGTTTAAATTTTCGCGCGCAGTTTCGCGCCGAACTTCAAGCTGCGTAAAAAAGATCTCTACTTTAGGGTACATTATGAAGCTATAGTGAAAACAAAATACATTTTAGTTGGTTGCCACATGAGGGGTGTAATAAAAGACAATTAAAGCTCACCAAACGAGACTTTTGATGATACGACTTTTTGGTCTCACCAAAATTCTCGTTTTATCACGAGCCGTTTTATCACCCTTAATCCACCCAAACCCTGATGATTAAACCGTTTTATGTGGGTTTTGGAAGGCACCCAATGGTACAGCTTCTTCGTTCGACAACAGTGTTACAGAGTAACCTCTCTATCTAGTATAGCCTGTAGAACAGCTTTTGATCAAGTATAGCAAGTTGATGGCAGTTCGTGTGGTGCACAGTCATGAAATTTAGTTTGAATCGAGCGAAATATTCAAATCTGGAAATTTATGAACTATCTGACGTCATACCAAAATTTTCCAAGGCCCAAGTGTGACCATTTCAGCAGCTGATTTCGATGATAACAGCTTCAAATGCTGACGGACACAACATTTGTGTCGATATGTACAGCTAATTCCTACTAAAACCTCATATTTTGATGCATTCGCCTGGTTTTTCTATTATCACATTGTTTCGAGTTTCAAGTTAGACAGTATTACCAAAAGATTATAAAAAAAGCAAACTTACCAGTTCGGTGCAATATCATATCAGTAATAGGATAGTAGGAAATACCGTAAAAGTCGGCTCCAGTGCGACAAACGGTTACAGTGCGACATCACCAAATGTAGGGTCGACACCCCTTCTTCTAGAGTATGAAATGATTCTGTTGATTGGATCGCCAGTCAAACAAATAATAAAAGTTTAAAATAATAGAGGCTTTTAGCAGAACCGACAACTTGCAAAAAGTGAGATGAACATGTGTGTCTAGTGCCTAACCGCAGTGGCGAATCCACGAATTTGATCGTGTAAGTCGTTCGAAACCCACAAAAGCTGTGCAAATATACTGTTCGGAGTTACGAAACATGAGGTACTTTTATGCCGTTAATTTACTGCTATCCCGCTTATAAATTGGAGGTGTGGATAGACTCTGCTAGCTCTTATCATTTCGAGTTTATCAGTCAGCCACGCAAACAACCATGCATTTCAGCGCAGCCGCCTTTGTCTCGACAAGACCAGCCCCGGGATTTGATAGCGACCAAGCTCAATTCCTACGTTATCTCACTGTTGGGCTTCGCCCACACCAAAAGAAGGCGCACTTACTGCGCCTTTGGAATGAAGCCTGTCATTCAGGACACGTTGTGCTTGCTGCGTCTATCGCCGCGTACGTTCACGAGGAAGAACCTCCTCAGCCTCATCTTCGTGCACCCTTTAACTTCAACTCTCTCTCCGACTCGGATTGTGTTGCCAAGTTTCGATTTGGAAAAGCTCATATAGAATCCCTAGTTGCGCACTTTGAATTTGACACAATACGGACTCGTGAACGCACTGCAGCAACTGGAGTAGAAGGCCTGTGTGTTGTTCTTTATAAATTGGCGGTTCCGATACGGGTGCGAACTGGAATCGTTTTTTGGGCGAAAGTCTAGTGGCCTTTCGAATTTGTTTCTACATGTACTAGAAATTATCGATGTCAAGTTTTCCTATCTTTTGTTCTTCAACCATGAATATGCTGCCCAAAACGTTCAAGTTTATGCTGATACTGTATTCGAAGCTGGTGGTATATTGCAAAACGTTTGGGCGTTTGTAGATGGAACTGTTCGCGGTATTTGTCGACCTAAAGCGCGTAACATTTCGCGCGATGGGAAGTATCAAAGTCAAAAGTCTGTCTACAATGGTCATAAACGCAAGCATGCACTGAAGTACCAGACCATTTCGACTCCCGATGGCCTAATTACGCATTTGTATGGCCCATTTCCTGGACGAAATCGCGATATTAAGCTGTTTAACCTTTATCCCCCAGGTCAAAAGCCTACCGGTAGCAGTCATGAAAGCCTACTCGTACGCGCCACCTCAGTTAGTTTATATAAAGGTTTGTATTGAGAAGCATGTGGTTTGCATGAAATGGACTGTTGTGTTACGTAGAAAAGTCAAATTGAAGTTGAAGTGATGTGATCACTGAAGCACTTTCGACCAGAACGGGGTCCGCATATGCCGAAAAACGAGTTCGAGTCGGGCTGTGAACAGTTTACGCAGTAATATGAAGACTTTGTGCTGCACATACCACAGACTCGTTGAACCCTCTTGCCTTGGGTTCGCGCTGAAGCATAACGAGGGTGCTCGATGAATGGTTTGATGACGTGGGTGGGTTCACCGTCACATTCCGCTACTTCTGCGGTACCGCTACGCGTTGTTCTGACAGCCTCGTAGTCATTGAATATCAACTGATGAGCCA